TCATCCCAAACTGGCCAAGTAAACAGCTCATGTGCTCCCTCTTTTGGTGCCAGAAGGAAGTACAAACCACACTGGAATAAGCTCAGGAAGAACTGGATCCAAGAACCACCACAAAACTAAATAAAACCTCCTTTCCCAGATCAGCCATTTCACACCTGTTTGAGAGTCACCCCGCTTTCCCCAGAAAGCTCGATTATATGAGTATAGTAAATGTTTTTCATTCCCTTTGAGTCCATGTATGCAGGAGAAAGATGTAGCAATCTGCTTATGTAAATATTTATAGCCATGGAAAACCCATAGAGCAGTTTAACGGAGTCTTTGAAATACACAGATGGCATCAACAAATTTGACATTTGACCCATATTTCAGTTGCGGGGTCAATCATGTCTCATCCCCATTTTGAATGGTGTTTTTTGAAGAGTACACGTTTGTGATGTTGATGGTTTCCAATTTATCTCTTTTTCTGTTTGTTTGTTTTCACTCGTGCTTTTACTGTCATATAAACTAAAGAAAGCTGGAACTAATCCAAGTCAATAAACACTTCATTATTCTTTTCTTCTAAGAATGTTACACTTTTAGTATCTTGCTTAGGTTTGTATTTCATTTTGAGGTAATTTTGGTACATTGCATGAAGAAGGGGCACAGCTATATTATTTTGCAAGAGTATATACATCTGTACCAACACTACTTGTTGAAGAGACTATTGTTTGCCCCCCTTGAATTATCTTGGCATCCTTGCAAAAATCAATTGACCATTAATGTAAAGGTTTTTTTCAGACATTTTTAAAGCCTGAGTTAGTGCACTCTGAGTTAGCGCACCCAGTAGCATCACCTGCAAAGGTTCTCTCTGGTCACGTGAATTTTTTTGTGAAAGCAGTTTTGCTCAAACCTTGTTTTTTGGGATGGCCGATGCACAGCATGCGCCAGTGAAATTTTGTTTCTTGCTCAGGAAAAAAGCCGTAGAAACTGTTGTGATGTTGAACACAGCTTACAAAGACAGCGCTGTGGGAAAAACTCAATTGTATGAGTGGTTTTCTCATTTAAAAAAACGTGAAAGGTTGATTGAAGACAAATCTCATTCTGGACATCTGTCAACTTCCTGAAGGGAGAAAAATGTTGACTCAGTGCATTTGGA